GGAACTGAGATGTCTTCAGGTGGTCGACAATCCCTGCCTCAGAACCATAGCTCGTGTGGGTTGGTATCGGCGTATCCGTGAAAAGGCAATTAGTAAGCGGGTGTTCGGTTGTTAAACGGGTACTTCCATTGAAGAATCTCTCCAGCACCAGAAGGTGCGTTGATTGGGACGTGCCCTATGCACACCGTTTGCCGAAGAGAGTGTTGTTTTCCATGCCCAACTCAGATTGGCGTAAACAGAGATGTGGCCAACCCTTGACTTGACAGAGGGGTATGAAGGAGATTACGAAACGCTTGGATGCTGTCGGTGCTACTCGCTTTCCAGGGTGGGGACGACGTGATCCTCACTGTACCTTGTTGGAGACACTACAAGATATGGCTGACAATCGATGTCAGTGGCGTTCTTGTTGTCAGTTTTTGTCCAGATTGCCTGAGTGAATGTCTGGAGGTGTAGGCACCTCGGAATGATTGTGTTAAGCTAGCACTAAGTCCCTCCCCCATCCACCTTTATTCTTTTCTTTACAATAAGGCTTTCAAATAAGTCATGGCTGTACGGCAGTGAAGCATTGGTGTTGAGCACTGATGTCATGCTGTCGTTGATGATGATGATGATGACCTCCATATTACTGATCCAATGTTCCAAGAAGATTCGATATAGGACTCTTTGGACTACGTTGTTTCCAACTTTATTGCTTTGTGGAGGTCAGTAATCTCGCTTATCACGTTGCAAAATGAGTACAGCGATCATCGTGTAAAGGGTAACTCCGAGCGCCTATCAAACGGCCAGTCGCAGCAACTTCAGCGTCAGTGAAAAAAGCGTATAAATGGCGTTGTCCACCTGCGCAGGAATGCACAGTTTTGCAAACAGACTGCTACGGAGAAGAAAAAGATTCGCGAGGTTGTAAACCAGATCGCTGCTAGGGAGGGATACTACTATGGAAGGTTTCACCCTTTGGGGAAGTAATGCGTGTTCACAGCATCAAGACCAAAAAAACCAAAGCCATAAAGCCATTATAAAACCGGCCCATAGGAGGTAAGATAAGGAACCCACTTGGAGGCTTTTTAAAATAAACTCTACGACTGCACAGCTGTAAAGCATCAGCGTCAACGCTGAAGTTGCTGCCCACGATGTCCCTACAATTTACGTAGTGCATGAGCAAACAAGTACGATATGTGGAGCGGTATATATTCCACAGTTGAACAGCACACTACATGCCAGCAGATCATCTTCTAAGCATCTGGTGAAGTCACCGATGTCAAACAGGACAAACTACCGTTCAAGGTTACCGGTTTTCAAATACACCTGAACTCCTTCATCTAAACATGCAGTAACTAAGTAGTACATGACAAAAGTTACACTGAGGCACAATACTTCATACCAAGTAACCACCCTTCACTGTTTGCAAACGAGGGCCAACGTATATATGATAATTGAGGTTTATTTGTGGCACCACACGTCACACTGCCATTGGTGTTAAAACTAATTTCGAGCTACTAACACAGTCCGCGAAAACCAGTTCATCCAGTTCACTGGATTCGGGTGGTTTTCATACGCATTAGGCACAAGACCAACCAATGATATTGGGGATAGTGGTCAAGGCGAATAACTTACTGAGAATCCGGAATTACAAAAAAAAACATGAACCCGAAGAGCAAAGTTGTAGAACTAGCGAGGAATGTGAGGTGAAAATTGATGGAAGCCCCTGTTAAAAACTTCGATCAACTTACGTATTCTTCGCATGGACATAGTGGCAGGTATTTTGATTGAAGAATTTCAAGATCAGCGGGATGCAGTTGGCATATACAAGATATTGTGACACGTATTCAAACTAGCAACAAGAGAAACAAGAGGTAAATCAATAATATAGTTGACGGCACGACGGGAACTGCCATGAACAGCCGTAAATACCCTTTGTGTTGCGGATGAACGCATGTCCTACTAGTGAGATTAAAAGGTGGGCCATTGCCAAGAATCAAGTATAGGTTCGGAGAGGAAGACTGGTGCTCAACAGCTGCAAACCTGTGACCAGTAAGTCATGTCTCTAACGAACAAATGCAGAGTGAAATAAGTATCCCTTTTCAATCATTTGCCAAACGCTTAGAAGAGTTCGTTGTGGTTCGAAATGATCAGTTATTCATGCTGGCTCAGCCCGTCCGGTTTCTGGTAAGCATGTATTTAGAACAACTGTGTCACTGTTGATGGTTTTGCGTAGAGATCACCATCAGAAAGAGCAACATCAGTGTTGACATTGGTGCCTCTGCGTAGACAGCACATACGCCTGGGTATTCCGTTTACTTATTGACGACATGCTTAAAAAAGCCTATTGAGTTTTCGGTACACTCTAGTTGACCTTTGATTCAGAACCAATAGTTTCGAAAGGAAAAAAAATTCAAGAGGCAAACACGTTGAACTAATTATTGCCTCACAAGTGGCCGGAAACGAATATGCCTATTTTCATGCGGTGAAAAATGGAACGCAAGTGTTCCCGAAGTATGTTCAAGTCCGTTAAGAACTATTCAGCGTAGTACAACTGCTGAATCAAAGGATCGTTCACAAACAGCCGGAAGGCTGAAGATTGACGATGATACCTGATAAGACAAAATATCCATGTAGATCATGTGGAGAAGGGATCAGATATTAAGCAACAGTAGCATCTATCAGAAAACGGAATGCAACCTTATCTAACGCTCTTATCCTGTTGCACACACCATCGACCCTCGACGGATAAGCTGATGTCACGTCTACGCCACAGGTAACGTAGGTTCGCAAAAGCTGCTCTGGCCTTTCCAATCCGGATGGAAATAACATCTTTCGCGAGACCACCGGGACTGATAAAGCTGCCCAGATAAACAAACTTGTCTACTACCTCAATCGGTTGATCCGCAAACACGAGGATAGGTTTCGAGCCCACCCAATCTTGCAGTAGCACTTTACACTTTGCAGGTGTGAAGCGCATGCCGAACCGCGAGGCAGAATTATTTAGATTATTTAATATTGTTTGCATTGCCACGGGGTCAGACCCCAGAAGAGCTGTGTCGTCTCCGTACTCGATGTCTGTGAGCGGTGGTCCAGGGAACACTTCGACCCCACAGGCATTAGAGGCTGGTAGTGAGTCTTCTATGATCGTGTCAGTGGCGAAGTTGAAGAAGAAAGGTGAAAGAGGATATCCCTGTCTGGACCATTTGATGTGGCCTCCCGAATACCTTCACGCATTAATGAGGGTCAAGAATTTAAGGGGGATCCCTTTGCTCCACAGACATTACCATAATGCCTGACGGTTCACAGAGTAAAAGGCAGCTTTCAGATCAAGAAACAACGATTGTTGGTTGCTGGAAGCAGTGTCGCTGTCCCAGAATTTGTCGGATGGTGAAAATATGATCGATGCATCCTCTTGCAGGATGGAACCCAGCTTGGTTTTCACTGACCTGTCTCTCCCTGTGTTCGGTCAACCTGATGACGATGATGATGACTGCTATCCGTGGTGGCAATGACAGTGCAAACCACGTGAATATTACAAACAAGGTCATTTAACGTCGCTTTACTTACCTGGTAGATGTGGTTCAGTTTCATGTGCTTCAGGAGGAGTAATAAAATGGCAGAAATAGCTTTCACAATCAATTCACGGTGACGGTTAATATCGAAGTTCAATATGGCCGTCCGAACCACGTTCCAACTAAAAAGTGGCCAAAGGAAGAGAACGCGATAAGTCACCGAAAGGTTAAGAAATTCTGAACTGTAATCCGTCCTAACTGTTACGGTCACCCATGAAATAATGTAGCAATCGTTCAACCCTTCCGGTGCTAGGCTGCCATATCACCAGAAGGCAGCACGAGGCCTGAGATACTGTCAGGTTACCCAAGCCTAATAAGGAACATTTGAGATTTCGTTGTTGGACTCGAACCTTCTGGTCATAAGTCCCCACCTTAACTACTGAGCTATCTCGAGCTCACGAAATCCTGTGAAGGCGGAGCGATGTTAAACCAATAGTGTGCAATACCCTCGAATAACACTCGATGCACCGGGAGGTACTCGAACTCCGCTCGACTAGTAACACTAAAAGATTTGACAAACTGTTATCATTCGCCTAAAATCCCACTGGACTAGGTTCTGCACAGATCTCACAGCTGACCATGGGCTAGCCGAATCAGCTAGCCATCAAAACCGGTAATCGTCAGATTCGTACTTTATGTGCCGTGCCATTCTTTGCTCCTGAAGCTTCCAGATTGCGGTTTCCGGCTGAGAATAGGCTTAAAGTAAGTGCTATATCAGGACGTGATTTTCACCACGACACAAACAAGACTGTTCGCCTTTTTGATAACACAGTGTTGCTACTTTATAAGTAAGCTCAACAGTAGAATTCATTCATTCATGTAAACTGTTGGCGATGAACGTAGTCCTACGAAAGTCTGATGATGAACAGTTCAGGTTCAGAAAATGTAAGCTATACCACTGTTAAAACCAGCAAGGAATATGAGAAATGGGGTACATGTAAGCGAAGCCCGATAAGTTTCGCTGTGGTTTTTCGGGTGTCTAGTAGAGATGAAAGACAATGTGAGATGTACTAGTCAGTCTTTTCCAATATCATCTGCTCCTCCAGCTTAAACAACCTAACTTTTAAATAGCTACCACTCAAAACAATCATTCATTGAATTCGAGATCACGTTCATTTCATCGGAATGCCAGGTTTTGTGCTGATTGGCCGCGAAACGCCATTAAGATCACTTCACTGACCTAGGAACCAACATACCCTACATACATAGTTACAATACTGGTGAATCAAGTCCACGAAGGTAGTTTTCTTGATCGCATCACTGGCTAGTCTGGTACCCTTATGGACTAGGCAAAACAACGCTTCAGCTAGGATCCCTGAAGCGTCGTACACAAACGATCAATCCTGGAGGTGGGGAAGGAAAATGCCCACCATCAACTTGAATATGAGCATCAGGTGTCCAGTAGGTGTTCCTCTTTATTTGGGACATAAGGACACAAAGAACGCTATTCAACTGACCACAACGCACGAACAGAACTTCAAGTGGGTAGATCGCACTTTACGAATTCATGAATGAAAACGATCTTCACTGGTGAACATACGGAAGGGAAAGATAACCGATGATGCTATCGCACCATCATATTATAAAAACACTACACTAATGATACCAGTGTTAATGACTGGCGCATAGCACTTGTCTTTCACAAGTATCGAGTCCCACGGCTGTTGATTAAAGCATATCAGGTCAATGATGAATGAACTGATATCACTAAATCGGCCAGTTATGCTATGAACTTCGTACAGTAGGTCAATTTAAAGTGCAAAAAATGAAACAACCTCCACAATGCTGTGTGGTAGCGAAGTATGTGCAATTGAACGAACAACAAGACTTACGACGGATCCTCAGGCATCATCACCTCGGCAAGGATGTTTAAGGGCTCAGTCTTGTTTCTGGACGTCGGAGCGGCAGCCAACAAGACCCGCAGTAGTGCGATCTAAAGGAATAGGATAGTGAAGAGGAAGAAGATTAAATTGTTACCTCATGAGAAATAATCTTGGAAGCGAGGGTCTTATTTTAAGAAGGATAACTAGTGAAAAGTTTGTCACGCCGTCCGCACATGACTGACAAAGATTCAGTTGTCTATGGGTGATGAAGTTTTTCGCTTCAACTAGAGTCAACATTCGATTTATCCAGGAGGCCCTCAAATCTGCAGATGGGTCGTACATTGAAGGATCAACAAGGTAGGCTTTCACAACTACCTAAATCTCTTCTACACGGGTTAGCAAAAAAACAGGTCGTTTTGTGAGGCTCACCAATTTTCGAAGAAAATCCGCGGGAGAAAACAATGAGATTTATTAGCAGAACAACTATTGGGAACTGGAATAAAGACGAATCACCACACATAATCTTCCACCGTCATTATCCCTAATGCAGCTGTGTGACATCTTAACAAATGCTATACTAAATTCAACCAAATTTATCAGCTGCAAATCATGTACCATAGACATACTGGTTTCAGCTGCCAACATTTAGATGGGAGTGTGGGAGATATAGTCATACATTGAAGGCCATGGCATGTTTGGTTAGTTTAGGAACTGTATAGCTACGCATTGGAGAAAATAGCTTTGAAGCACGAGTACCAGTGACTGCGCGATTGGGCCATTTCTGCCAGTGATACTAACTATTGGCGAGTTGAGTCCCGGAGTCCCCATCCACGGAGAAGGCAGTTGTTGGCCCGACTTGATTTACTAGTTAGCTTTTGCATATTTCGATACTAGGTCATGTACTGTCCATCTCTCGATCGCTCCCACTCAACAAATGCAAGGCGAACGATCTTCTGGCATGTAAAGTACATGTCCTAACCAGCATAATCTATGAAGCGGGAGAGTTCCTTCTTCCTAAAATCATCTGGCTGTACCTCGGTACTCCTAATCCGATGTTCGCACCAGGCCCGACCAATGCTCCGGAGACACCAATGGTCAGGCACTGACAGTTTTCGTGTGTCCTCTGCGTGAAGAGGTCCCGTTTCAGATTCATTGAGTAATATGAGTCGCATTGCGGCACTGTAAAATCTGCAGCACTTGACAGACGCACTGACGTCAAGTCGGCGCCATAGGTGTCCGAGATCGGCAAAAAACCACTCTGATCTTACCAATTGGAGAAGTAATCCTATCTCCAGTTAGTGCACAGTGTTACAACACTGCCTGACCCAATAACAATTCTATTCGTCTAGCTGTAACACCCTTCCGGTGCCCAGCTGTCATACCACTCGAAGGAAGCAAGAGGGCTGAGATGCTACCAGGTTGCCTAAGCCTGGACAGGAACAGCAGAAGGCAAAGAGGTTGGATTCGAACCACAGACCTTCCCATCAGTAAGCTCGCGACTTAACCAATGAGCTATTTCGAGTCTGAGCAACACGAAGAACACATTGACATCGCAGCATTATTGACAGTCCCTTGAATGCAGCAGCCGACTATCAAATCATGCTTGATGAAAAAAGTCAATGTAATCATAGTGGTTCCTCTCTGGAGACGAAGCAACCACTTCGGGGAGAATTTACCGCATAGTTCTAAGCAGTTTCTTGTGGGTACAAAAATCTATGCCAAATTCCTCCACAAAGCGTATTTCCTCATGGGTGGAGTACCATGCCCGCTAATTATATTGTGCAGAATTGGAGGGTTATGATACGTTGAAAATGACTACTAGTTAGATGACATAAAGTGTTCACGGAGAAGGAACATTACATTTCAATGAGACTGTATGATACTTGGAAATAGCCTTCAGAGATGGTTGCTGTCAGCCTTGTTGTTGGTTGGAGAATCTAGTGGAACCATAGCCGAGTCACGCTCGTCCTGAAACCAATGGTTTGGGTGGTCCAAACCAGGAGGGGAGCATAAGCTCTGAGGCTTTCTTTTGTGAAAGCCGAACACGACGCATTGTCTCGGGCAAGATTGAATTGATTAAATATGAGTGGTTCCTGTGTAAAATGACTGTGTGTACTTGGGTGACGTGCAAGACTGATGTGCCCACGTTGTTCTAGAAACTGTGGTCGATGAGCAACCCGTCGAAGCTCTCCAGTATGGTGGTATCAAATGAGTTCTATGTCTGCTACAGTTTTAGGTAATCAATCGACGATCCTAAGTGAGTTACTCCAAAAGCAGTCCGAGGCGTTGAGCAAAATTCATGAATCACTCGGGTCCCAAATTGTTCAATTTGTGAACCAGATAATTTGGGTGTGGTGATTTATCAACCGACAGTTCCTATTCAAAATCGCCAGATACAATGTTGAATAAAAAGTTCCAAATGAAGGTTTGAGGCCTCCTTACCATGTACTGTGGCAGCAGGGGATATACAGCACGATATAGACGCTCTACTGCGGTGTCTGGAATCTGTTCCCGTCCCTGGAAACGGAAAGATACGGGAAAAAGTTAATTTCGTGACATATATCAATGACACCTAGCAAGTTGCATTCTGAATTCGCTGGTCATTCGTTCACCATGGTGAATATCTTCACAAAGCAGAAGGCACACTTAGTCACCCAAAGTCAAACCCTGGAATACCGTGAATAGATTGCCATAGTGATTGTTCCTTCATCAGTCTAGCTCAGCAGTTGGATTGCAAACATTCCGTCACCAACCGAGGAGACATCGTCAGTGGGCGCGCTGACCACCAATAGAGGGTGGGTGACGAGACGTTTATAATCGATGTATCCAGCTCAGAAAACAAACCAAAAACAAAAAAATACTGCTGAGCTACTCATATTTCACGGTAGTCCCAGGTTTGAATCATGAACCTATCAGTCAGTAGTTTCGCGTCTTAACCGCTGACCTATCCGGCCGGAGCTCAGTGACCGTGTGATCGTTTAACACCCTAAGGATAACAGATTATGCTGAACATTGAATAACCAAGGGCACTAGTATACTTATTTACGAAATTAGTCGACCCCAAAATTCAGATTGTGTATACCGGTGTTACAAATTCTCTGAAGGACGTTCTACCATGAGAATGATAATTAAGCACCAACTGGAAATATGAAACATTGCCCGAAACCTAGTCTGGAAAACGGTTCCGCTAGAAACTGCTCATCCGACAAACTTAATGAAAAAAACACACAAGCGTGACATAAGTTCATTCCTGTCTTAAAATCAACCGGTAAAAATACATCACCTGTCCTCAAAGAGATGAAATCGCGATGGACTGTAGGCCTCCTAGGAACGTCTTGTTTTAAAACGTATTCTGGTGCAACTAACCCTTTGTAAGTATTGTTTCAGTAAACAGTCCTTAATTCTGTTTCCCAATCCGACATGGTACCGATGAATTTTATTGTCATTTATTACCACACACTTCACTCAGCTTCACGGGCAAAGAAATGAGCGATACACAGTAGTTTCAAGAATCCATGTTAACAAGGGACAAGAGAAACGAATCAGGATTGCATACCGAAAACCTAGGTGGGTATGTGAGTATACTAGCTTCTATGGATTTGTGGATAATCCAGATAACTTATAAAAGACACGGTCAATAATACCTGTAGAATCTGCATCGATTACAAACATGATGCAAAATTATGGACCATCCCTGAGACCTGACATTAAATGGATACCAGAGCAGTGTGGGCTTATCACAAGCCAAAGAATGGCGAAAGCCGATCCATTACCGCTTGCCATTTGGGAGTGATCCATCATTAGGCAGATATACAGTAAGGAAAACTTCAGCAGTGTACAACTGTTCGACGTAACCTTCGAAAGTAGGTCGCTCATAGTTCTATCAAAGATCTTTGACTCATTTGTTTCTCGGCGCTTGGCAATTTATACGGGTCGCATGATTTGGCACATGTCTCGGGATCCGAAAGCGCAAACCACGCTGCTGGGGAACCAAACTAGCCAGGTAAGTGCCCAGCGCGATGAGACCAGTGGAATCGTCCAGTGACTTATAAGGGGACAAGAAACTGCTTACTAATGTGCTGGTGACTGCTTTAGTCAAAGTGAGCTACCAGAAAAGACAAGCAAACGTCGTTGCACTATCTTTACCCACCAGCCATAAACTCAAATAAGCTGGTTGGAAAGTCTTCCTGTATCAAACAAATCATAGGGGCATCTCACCGCTTTTCACACTTATATTCTATGGCTATAAGTGCCTGAAAGAACATCATGAAAATACTAAGTTTGCAAGTCATCGTGATCCAATCCAAAACCCGCGGGTTTGTGCCATCAACAACCTAGCAATCGAACAATTATCCAATCGATCAATGGGTGCCAGTAAACAGAGTTCGGGCTGGAGACAACCCGCAGTTTGGATGAGTACTGCTCTAACTACGAGCGAGCATTATTGGGTAAAGCCACCTACGGAGTGGGAATCTTCAAAGTGTAAAAGTGCAACGGATTGGCTTCTCTAGAGGCCACTCCTCAGAAGTTGCATCTTTTGATCCATCTCTTACTATCGTTCGCTCGGATGTGAACATTCTGTTTACTTGTGTGGAATATTTGCACACCGGAGGGGTCACATTTGAAAGTCAGAAACAGAGAGGAAGTACCAAGGTTAAGTAAATGTTGGAATACGAACCATAGACAGTGGGTAGCGAATCAGTTCTCGTTCTCGTTGAATTTGGACTTCACCCAAAGACACATAAAGGTGTTCCCGCATCACACGGACCGCTTCGTGAATAGGTTCCGGCAGACCGATCAAAGTTGTCGTATCATCCGGTACTTGAAATCCGACAAATTTCATACGAACGTTCGAGAGAAACGCCTGAAATATTAAGACAGGATATTTAGCTGAGGTGAACGAACCGAAACCGGTAAGCATGGAGGAAAGAAGTGGTTGGTGTAGAATTTGTCCGCTGCAAGGCATAGTAACCATCAAAACCTAGCCTAAGCACAAACGAGGTACCTCACCTCCAAGTCCTTTTTCCGAACTTTTGGTTTCCAGGGTAAGGCTTTGGCATCCAACTGGAAATTTGAGAAACCCTGTCGAGTGGCAAAAGTAGTGAACGCTTTACCACTTGAGTCAAAGCTGGGTAATGGAGTATCCCGTCCGTTGAGTGCTTGTGCAGCAGCGTTGTTGGTAGACCCTTGGACAGGTGAGCCAGGACGTGGGGTAGAAAGACCCGAGATCTCGGAAGATGACGAAGACGCAAGAGTAGGGACTGGAGTTATAGCTTGCGGTTGGGGTGCGGAAAACGAGTAGGTTACTGAGGTGACGACAGATGGCGGTCGAGGTGGTTGTTGAACACTCGCCCGTCCACTTGCCAGAGTACCCTGACGAGGAGCTTGATTGCCTATAGATCGAGAATACATGGATTAGGCTGAATGAAGTAGATAAATCACACAATTAGCACAAGTCACCAAAATATGTAGTACTGCAAATTATAATAACGCGGCATGCGTAATTGAACTTACGTAGCGCACAAGCAGCGTGTACATCAACGAATGGAAATTCAGTAAGGAGGAAAACAACTCCGAGGCTATTGCAAAGTTCATGGTCAAATATCGATATTAAGGTCATCCTAGGGCCATGACGGTTAGACTTTTGAAGCGTTCGGCAAAAGACTCGTAGATATGACACTATATGCCACGGCTGTCATCATTATGATCGACAGCAATACACTAGTAGTAAACAGTGGTGCTTTACTGCCCCTGAAGATAAACAGTGTGTGCAGGACGCCAGAAAAAAAGTGGATTATTTACTCGCCATCGAGGTAGAGGACTGCCTTAGACTTAGGTTGAGAGAGCTTCGAACGAAAGCGATTCAGCAAAATCCCCGACACACTTTCAGTTCAGTTAAGGCGGTTAAAATATATTTGATCTTGAACATTTCAGTTCGTTTCCCAACGAGGAAATGTTGATGGCGCAGCTAGGATATACAGCCGTCAATCTGCTAGCGACTGTTTTGCCACCAATGGCAGTGCCAGACTAACAGCCATTTAGGCATCAAAAAGGATGTAGCCGGTGTGATCACTAGGTGAGTTGAGGCAGTAATTAGCCTACCAGTAAACCCTGAAGCTATAAACGAGCAGTGGTCACCTCAGCAGTTAAGCTAGACAGCATGCTAAGTGGTGTTAATAGCTTCCACTGCTCCTGGCGGTACTCAGACCCTCAATGGTTATGGAGACGTAAGTACACGTAAACAAATTTCCTTGATCAAACGGGATCACTGTGGCTATAGCAATTAAGGGGCGCACGCTACCTTCACAACGGAGTGGCGTTAGATCTACATCAATCGACCACGGCGTAAAACAGAAACAATCACAGGCAGTTTACATTGAACTACACGAAAAACCACTCGGGCATCTTATCCGGTGTAAACGTAAGAGAATAACGCCGCGCGTGAACAGAAGAAGGCAACGGCATCCCCAAACAATGGTCCACGATCGTCGACCCATGCGACGGAAACTGAAAATTCGGGACCTGTAGCATGTGCGGTGGGTAGTCTACCTCAATCAAAAGAAACAAACTGGGCACAGTAAGCTTTTGCTAGCAAGGAATAATTTCCGTTTATGCGTGAGCGGTCACATAATTAGTTTTACGACTGCCGTAGATCCAAGAAGTCAAAATGATACAAATACACTTATTCAAATGCCAACTTAGTTTTACGGAAGACTTACCTGAAAACCAACCGAATCTCTCGTATTCCATATTCTTCAACTGAATGTGCTACACAAAGGTCACCCGATGTCTCATTTGGTATGATATTTAAGTATATTT